CCTCCCTTTTCTACGCCTGTATTAAAAACCAAATATATATAATGATTATTATTTAAAAATTTTATTTTGTTATGAAATCACAAAAGAATAGGTACTATAGGCAGCAAGTTCAATTGAATTGGAAAAAAATCATGGGTGTATATATATTATATAATAAGTAAATTACATAGGTAGTGGATAATAATATTAAAAAATAATTAACTTTATTAGATATAGATAGGTGTTTTTAATAATAAGTTATCGACTACCTAACTAAATTAGTCAAGTTTATTATGCTATATTGCTAATTATTTTCTGTTATTAAATTAATGAAGCTATATATATATAATTTTTACAGTTGGTGTGGATAGAAATAATTGGTAGATATTTAAAAATACTTAAACATTTTTTTTTTTAAATTGAAACAGTATGGCACATGCCTTTGTATAATATTATAGACCATTTACACTAATAGAGCGTAAGTATCAGCCTTTTGACTATACCTAACTGTAAGCAGTAATATGATATTTTTATAAGCTTAATAGTATATTGAGTAAATTATAACAGGATAGTAAATATCGATATTGGTTATGTAATACATAGACTTTAGAGTATATTGTCAAAAATTGATATTATTAGTAATTTTTACTTATATAGTTATATAGCTTATATCTAAAGCATTTTTTGAGCCGTTGTTTCCTTACATTGATATGATGTAAGTATGGATACCTAATTTATATATACAATTTTGTATGAGTTATTTATTTTCAACAAATCAATTTTTTCCAAAATTATACTTTGAGAACCATTTAGAATTACTCAAGGGTTATGAGGAGACAGTTCTCATCGATAACCGAAAATTGTTATTTTATTACATGTTTTTTATTTATTAATTTATTTTCATCTTATGCATCTATAGACTATAATTATCTATAATTATATCGTATAATATAATAATCTTAATAATACTATTATTATAATTATAACTAACAATCGTTTTTAGTTTTTTACATAATATTATTTTGTGTTTTAAAATTTTACACGGATTATGGTTTTAGTTTTAAATTCGGAGCAAGTTACTGCTAACGAGTTAATTAATTTGTTTTGAGTATTATTTTCTTTTTGATTTAGATATTTAATTCAAAATTGTTTACTTTAGAAACATATTAGTTTGAATATCTGAAATTAAATTTTTTTAAATGTATTAATAATAAAATGAGATTTGTAAAACCGTCTATTGAAATATGTTTATGGAATGATTCGCAATTATTTGCTATTTTACATAAACTATCATTGAAATGTATTGAACCGTAAATAATGAGGGTGGTATTCTGGTATGATGTACTTTTTTCAGTTAAATAACAAGCAAATTTAACATTCGAATACCGTTCTGATATTATAGACATAAAATCTTCAACAAAGCACTCAGAAACTACTTTATATTATATAATATAGGTAAGTCACGGTTAGTTTAATTTTCACAGTGTACGCGTCACACGTTGTCACTGTCATCTGTCATGCGGCGAACAATAAATTGCAGTCGTTAGACACATCGTTTTGTTGTTTTTATTATCATTTAAACACTTCGTGATCAAATAATGATTATCAGTTCTACCTATTCACTGATAGATTATACCAGAATTATGACTAGTGGTTTTTAAACGATAATTTTGGAAGGAATTGGTTTATCGGAAACGAAAATTATATATGTTTTTCTTTTTTGTTAACTGATAATTTAATTATTGGCAAAGAAGATACTCAATTCTGTAAATTTTTTAACAATCAAAATGTAGGCGTTTCTATAAGAAAACTATATTGGCAGTCATTACCCTCCCATTTAATATTCTTAAACATACCTTTGTATAAAATTAAAATTGAGACTAAATTTTGTACCAACCTACTCAAGGTTAAAACCGTATATTATACATTGATAGCTAAGAATATTAAGACATAAAAAGTTGTAGTATGCTAAAATAATATTGTATTATCGTATATTATTAATAATTTAAGAAATATAATAGAAAATTATTTAAGTAAATTTAAATGACTTAATAAAACTTCTTATAAATATAATAGGTAGGTATTATATATTATATATTTTTACTATATCCAACAAAATACATATATCTATAAAATAATTATGTTTTCAATCAAAATTTCAAGTCACTCTTAAGAAACGGTAATTATTTTTTAATATTAAGTTTCTAAATAATATTACGTGATAGATTTATTATTATATACTTCATATTTCTATAGTTAATACTCTATTGTATGTAGTTTATAAACTATAATAAATCTAAAACTATATCTAAACTTTAAAGAAATGTATCTAATAAAATGTTAGTACCTACATAATATCGATATACTGCAGAATGTTATAATATAGAATATAATTTGATATATTGCTTAGTATAAAGTAAGAATGGATCTAAACTTGAAAGTATTATAAAAATGCAAAATACAGTCATATACTTTTATTTGAATTCGAAATGCTCATAAAAATTTAATTTAACCTTATAGAAGTTTTTTTTTGTTTAAAAGTTTAACTAGATGTAATAAATAACCTTGTATTAAATTTAATAAAAACTTTTATGAATTTACACTACAAAATAGTTTACTAATTTTTATGAATTTTATGAAATTTTAAAAATTATAACTTTAAACGCTTATAAAAAAATATGGCTAGATTTTTTTTTTTTTTGAAAACATTTATAAAAAAATAAGATAAAATAAAAAAAATGTCTAATACCTTTAAATAGCTCAAATATAGTCGAAATATTTTAAAAATGTTTAATATAAAATAATAATATAAATATTTAGTGAATATTTCAAGTTTTTACAGTTATTTTTTTTGGGGGGTTATATCAAAAAACAATACCAATTTTGTCGAAAATCGGATTTATGTAAAAATTATAAGTTTTCCTTAATTTTTTGTTTATTTGTCCTAATTTTTAAAAATACACACTAGGAATTTTTGAATTTGACCTATTTCAATTACAAACTAAATTCATTTCAATATTCAAAACTACCCCCATTTTTGAAAATCAAAGCATTTTAATAAGAACTTATCGAGTTTATGCCATGAATAAAATCAATGCATTCAACACTCCACTCAGAATCTAATAAAAACTTGCTACCTAATATAATTCTAATTAATAATCACACAATTGCTCTAACAGCAGAACACATAATTGCTGTACCTTCCTATATATGCTGTTATATATTTTATAAATTATATGGATAACATAGGACTTTCTTAGTAGGTGCAATATAATATATAATAAAGGTATATTTACAAAGTGAAATAATTATTGACAAATATTTAGAACACAAGAATAATACAGAAATGTATGTGTACATTGTATACCTAATAGAAAAAATAAGCATTAGATTGATGTCGTACAAGTTTATGACCAATAGTTAAATGATAAGGCTATAGCAAGAATACGGTTCAGCAGTATTGAAAAGCTGTTCAAAATATTTATAATTAGTTTATTAAAAATGTATAGACTTGTACAACCTAATAGCTAGATCAATTAAAGATTAAAAAAGATAGTACATATAAAAATATGCATCTACCTTAAATCACGATAGTTAAGTAATCAAAACTTTGAAACGTAAATATGGACTTCATTATATTATTGACAGCTACCCAGAGCTTATTCTAAGGATTTTACCTACTGCCCAAATACACTGAAAAGTTTGTTTTATGAAATTTATTTGGTACCGTCTGCAGCCCTCTTAATAAAATATAATGATGAATATAAATTTCTTTTACTTATAACTTGAAAAAGTTCAGGTCAAACGGTTATATTTATACTTTATAAACATTAGGTACTTAAGAAAAAAAAATCGACTATAAATACGGCCCTAAAGCTACTTAAGTATTATTTATCAATAAATAATAATAAAATAATTATTCACACACAGATTCTGACCGCGATTTACCACTCTACAAATTTGATATTAGGAAATAGCTACACAGAGTACACGCTATATTATACACTCATGAAAGACTGGAACGTCATGACGGATGTTATAGGTATTAGATATAGGTAATAATGAAATTAGTTGTATATAGTACCTTTATATACCTTTATATTTTATAAATTTAATTAAGAACCAATGATAAAATTGGTGGTTATTTGTATCTGTGCACTATATGTGTACAATGACTACAATGGTTTATGTGGTCACGATAAATTTAGCCGATAACATAGTACCAAATCGTAATTCGTATTTGTATTTCACAGATTAAATAGGTAATCATCAAAGTAGCACTTACATAATTATTAGTTATTAGGTACTAGATTGGGTTTATAAATTACACAAATTTCAAAATACTGTATAGAAATTCAATCATTCTACAAGGAAAATTATATTTTTGTAAGGTGTCCATATTTATAAAGTCAACTGCTTTTTTGATTTTCTTATCTTGCCCTGAGGCTATCTATATATTATATGGTTGCAGATACTTGCTTTCATACTGATAATTTGAGCTATTTTATTTAGGTACCTACCAATAAGAAAAGATACAATACATACCCATGGATTTAAAACCATTTCAACTTCACCATGTAAACTATTGTAGATGTAAGTATATCAGGTACCTATAGAATAAGGATTGTATGTATATTATTATAGTAAAAAAAATCATACAAATATATAGGTATATATAATGTATAAGTTATTAATAATAGACAAAATTATAATAAAATTTATTTAAAATTGCAAAGAGTTGCACTGAATTAGATTCATTGGGGGGGGGGGGACTTGATTGCAGGAGACTATACGCAGAGTACACAAATTCACAATTATTATTCCATAGATAAATCGGGTGCAGGCGGTGAACATAATATTATCATTGTTATTACTACCATAGCTTCAGACGATTCGGTCGACACCGTTTCTCTTCGGCCGCCGCCGCGAATCGTACCAATCGGGACGAGTTTCTGTACGGTTAACAAGCATACCTTAGTCGTGTCGGCCCCGTACTAACTGCATCTATATCGCGATCGTAGGGCGTCGACGGGCGGCGGCCCGTGCTTAGGTATTTGCTATTTGATCGTTTTGATGTGTACACAATAATATGTTGCCGCCGTAGTCACCGCCACCACTCACCTTCCCATCCGTTTACTCGGATGAGATCATCAGTCTTAGTGTGCGGTAAAAGAGAAGTGAAAGGGAAAATTGTATTTATTAATATTATTATCATCATTATTTTCTATATCTATAATAATAATAATAATAATAACGATATTGGTCCATCGCTGTTGAACCAGACACTGTAGGCACACCGTTCCATTATCAATATTATTATTATTATTATTGCCGTGTAGGTAATAGGTATTCCGCTTTCGATTCAACAGTTCAACAGTTGTAATCGGGCGCAGAGTGAACGAAATCAAAAAGCGGTGTCTGTCATACGTAAAGGATTATCAAATTGTTCGTCTGGTGAGTACATTATTCTATCCTACTTAATTTGCCTGGAACCCGAATCGGTCTTTAACGTGTTTGACGTGTTTTATGTATGTTTGTTTTAATTTTTTCTTTTTAATACCATTTTCGTTCACCGTACAGGAGCTATACGTTTTACGTTTTGATAAACGAAAAAATCGAATCAATCGAGTTTTGTGGTGTTACATTGTGACCATAGTGGTAGTTTATATCCATCCATTCATTCACCATCTACAATATTGTCTTAAACGGTTGCTACTGTGCTGTTGTTTCTTTGTTTTGGCATTGGTTTGAAGATGAACAAAAAGTGTGCCAGATGCGATAAAATCGTTTATCCCATTGAAGAGCTCAAATGTCTTGATAAGGTACATTTGTTCGATACTCAAAAAATCACTACTTACTGTTCTTCTACAGTGCTTTAGCATGACGTAGACTAAGAAAATAAATATAATTTTAGTTTTCTTATTTTCATATTATTTATAGGCTTGGCATAAGCAATGTTTCAAATGCCAGTCCTGTGGCATGACATTAAACATGAGAAATTACAAGGGATTTAATAAAGAGCCTTACTGTGAAGCGTAAGTACTTTTTTTTTTTAAACTATCATAAACTTCCAATAGACTATCTGTGTTAGTGAAATTAGGGTTACAATGAAATATTGAAATACTTAATATAATACATTATCATAAAACATAATATTAGATTATCAAATGACTATTCATAACTATTTACTCGATAGTTCAAAAATACCATAAAACAGTTAAAAACAAATAGATAAAGACGAGGATAAAGATTATATTCTAATTATGTATACAAATATTATAATTAGTTATATTTGCTTATTAATATTTTTCTTAAGAGATAACTTAAATTTATGTATAGTATTTATTTTATTTTTAAATTTTGTTTGTGATAATTATTTCTTTTTTTGTTAAAAATTTCTTTTAAGAAATAGAATATTACTCTATGAATATCTTAACAACATACTCATACAGATATAGAGTAAAATAAATTATAGAATGAACCTAACATTGCAGGTCAGAATATTTTTAGTAAAATAACAGAAGCTTAAAAATCCAGCCAAAAGTGTATAACATTAATATTATAATATAATAATATAAAATACATAAAATTAATTTTAAATAATAACTAGGTTTATTTAAGATTCAAGTCAATAATATAATTTAAGTATGCATATAAAGTCTTTAATCTGTTTTTTAAGTAGGTTCTGAATTTAATTGATCAATTATTAAATTTAATTACAGGCATATAATCTGGTTATTCTTCATTTTTGATGGTCTTAAACTTTGTACTAAACTAGATATGATATGACATTAAAATTAAAACTAAAAGTGTAGTTTTATCAGAACTAAATAAAAAATGTTTAATTTAGTAATTACTTTGGCTTTAACATATTTATAATGTTTAATACAAATAATCAAAAGTTAAATGATTATCAAAAAAAAAAAAAAACAGTCCATCATTTTAAATTAATAAATATTTAAATTTTTTTTATTAATTTGCAAAATATAATTATTAATTAAATTGCTTGGAATTAAGTTTTTTATTTGATGTTCTTGTTGGTTCTTTTTTTAAATTTAAATAAGAATAAATATGAACAATATATTTAATTTAGTATAAATTGTAATATTAAATGATTACTAGTTAAATTGTATACATGTAAAAGATTCTATTTAGTGTACTTACATGGAAAATTAATTTGAATTTGATATAAAAAATTGTTTGATAATTAAGTGTTCTCATTTTATTAGTTGTAAATGATTTTTACATTAAATGGATATATGTTTGGTTTGAAATAAAATGTGAGCTTGTGTAATGAATATGCATGTAAATTATATTTAATATAATAACACAAGTAAATTTCTGAAAAATGTGTTTACTTACATATTTTCTTGTCAAAATTTAGTTTTTAAAAACAAATTTTTAGTAACATTTTTAAATTAGAATTTACAAAATATTTAAAACTATTTTTTTTAAGTTATGATTAAAAAAAAATTGAAGTATACTGTTATGATTTGTTTATAAACATTTTTTAATCAAATTACAAAAAAAAAGATTTTTTTCTTAAATTTAAATTTTTGTTATTAGAAATTTGATCATGTTAATTATTTTTTCTAAACTTTTAAAGACTTATATTCACAACAGAACTTTTATTTATAGTAAAAATTATTTTTTATGATGCTATTTAAATATATAATTGAAAAAATACTGTTTATAAATTTAAAATATTTACCACTGTATAAGCATAGGTTAATAAAAACTGAAATAAATTATTAACTATTGTTTATCTTTAAACAAATTTAAATATAAAATATGATTTTTGAAATAAAAGAGCCTTAAAATAAACAATAAAAATTTAATTATATATTACCTTTTATAATTCTTATATTTTTTAACTAACTTAATATTTCTCTATTTGTGGTTTTAATAAACCAATTTTTTTATCTTTTATATTAAGGATTGAAAATAAAAATACAATTTAAGGTATATAATCACATTACATATTGAACAACCACGTTCATAATTGTATAAATAATAACTACAACTAAAGACTGTTATTTTTTTAATCATAAACATATCATAATATGCATCAATGTCTTACTCATATTTTTCTCATAATAACAATAATATAATACTATCTAACAATTTTATTTATGAGTTATCTATTTATTACATAATATGATTTTATAATTTATATTCAAGTTTTATAAGTATCTAGTCAAGTTAAAAATAAAGTCAATTAGTGAACTAAATAAAAATAGTATTTGTATATATTTTAAAGACAATGTTAACATTTTATTATTTTATGAGAGGAATAAATTAAAAAGCAAACAAAATTAAATGTTTTAATATATTCTAATACTAAAAAACCAAATTATCTCTACAAACACAAATAAAAATCAAATTTAAATTCTACTAAATGAATATAAAGTATTTGATATTTAAATATTTTTCTGCACCCAACACATTTTTTTTAAACAGCATTTTTTGAAATTTTATTAGTATGTAAATTTTTTTGAAAAAAATACTGTAAAATAATTTATTGCAAAGTGGCTTAAAAATTATAATTTCATTATTTTGGTTACCAGTAGTAGATCTAAAAGTGATTCAAGAGAGGAAGACATGATTTAAGCTATGAAGATACTATAATGTTCAGTACCAAGACAAGGGTTTATTTTTTGTCCCCTCAAAAATAGTTATTAGAAAAAACTCTATTCAAATGCTGTTATATCAATAATCATTAATTGGTCATTTTTACATTAAACTTATTCATATTTATTTATCATTAATGTTTAGTACCTATTGGCTTCTAGTTTCTATTATAACTTAAATTTTAATCAAATATGAAGTATCCTACTTGTTTAAAATAAACATTTAAAAACTACAACATTAATAGATTTATCAAGTCTTCTCTGACAATTGACCTAAAGATAAAGGAATATCATCTTATCATGCTTGTATCCACTACTATCGGCTGTATATCTAATGTATATTTTTTAAAATTTTAATTAATAAATTGTAAACATATTTCAGACATATTCCAAAAGCAAAACATACAACTGTAGCTGAAACTCCGGAGTTAAAAAGAATTGCTGAAAATACAAGATTACAATCAAATGTAAGTATATTAGTTTAAAAGACTTAATTTGAGTTATTTAAAAAAAAAAAATTGTTCAATCATTATTTTATGAAAAAAAAATTATTTCATGCCATCTTTATGGATAGATAACTTGTCGTAAGTAATTTAAAATTAGTTGCTTACAAATGTAGTTCAAATAATATATTGATTATTGATGTATTTTATTTAAATTCATCTAGTGATAGTATTTCATGTAATTTTATTAGTTATAATTAAGTCACTTTGTATTCTTATTAATTTATTTGTGTTTGAATAGTTAAATACTTAATAAATCTAATTTTTCTTGAGAATATAAAATGCTTGATTTATATTTTTATCATAATGTATAGACGTATTTATTTTATTTATGATATAAAATATAAAATAAAGACTATTTGATCTTTACATTTCAAATTGTGTAGGCTCAATATCATGCTGAGTTTGAAAAGACTAAAGGAAAACTAACACAAGTTGCAGATGACCCAGAAACATTGAGAATAAAAGCTAATTCAAAAAATATAAGGTAATGTAGGTAGTTTAAGTTATGAATATAGTTTATTTTCATCATTCTAATGATTTTATTGTTATTTAGTAATGCAGAGTATCATGGAGATTTTCTGAAAAAAGCAGAGATGGAACAGCGTAGACATTTATCAAATGGAAACAATGCAGCAAATAATAATGAACCATTAAGTAATAAAATAAAGTATAAGTTATTTAGTTAATATAAATTATAATATTATTTTTTATTCAAATTAAATAGAGAAAAATGTTATTGCGAACAAAACAATTCAAGATATTGATCATAGTAACGTTATTAAACAAAATAAAGTACAGCAAAGCTATAACAATGGAAACACTAGGTATGTGCCTCAAAAAGTTGAAAGTACACAGCATCATAATAGAGCAGAAGATTCTTCAGCTAAAATCCCTGCATGTTTAAATCGTCAATCTTCGACTTTAATTTATTCATCTGATAGTGGAGATTTAAGTAAGTTGTAATAAATTTAAAATTTAAAAATAGTTTTCTATTCAATGTTTTATATTATATACTTATATAATATATTATCACTGATAAGTTTATGTTATTTAAATATTTTAATATTTTATAAAGTATAACTATTATCATGATATGAATTGGTTATAATGTATTATTTAAAAAAATATATAGAATTTGTTATCTTATTAACTTAACGTAATATGATATAATTTACAGTTAACAATGCATACAACAACCACATTGGTTCAATAGCTGACTATGATCCTATTAAAAAACAACCGTCATATGGTGGCGTTAAGTATACTAACAATTCTGAAAGTCAAAACTATAACCTTGGGGTGTGTATTTATTATTTTGTTAATCAATATTTTTTTACAATAATTTAATTAATATATTTTATTTTTAGAGAGTTTACCGAGCCATGTATGATTATGAAGCTCAAGATTTGGATGAAGTTTCGTTTACTGATGGAGATTTAATTGTCAATTGTGCTGCTATAGATGATGGTTGGATGACAGGTGTTGTACAAAGAACAGGTGAATCTGGTATGCTACCAGCTAACTATGTTCAACCTGCAGCTATTTAATTTTGTTACATATTATTTGTTAATGTTTTTGATATGGTGAAAACAATAATTTTATATTAATAGTAATTTGTTTCTACTAATTCCCAAAACTAATTTATATTTATTGCTGCAGCTAAAGAAATTAAGAGCAACTAATTTATGTGATATCAAACTTGTTAAACTAGAATTATTATAAGATCACATATCATAAATAAATTAAAAAAGACATTCCTAAACTAAAAAAAAAAAACTATTAAGTAAAAGAAACATTCCAGTATTTAAACTAGTATTGACATAATTTAATTGTATAACTTAAAAGTAAACTTTTTATTATTTGCACCAAAAGAGTAATTAACTTGAGATTAAATTTATATATAAATTTAAAATAAATATATTCTTCTTATTATTATTATTATTATTATTATTTTTTTTGTATAAAAATTAATTTATTTTTAGTCTTAGTAAAAATAATTTTATTTTGATATTGTTATAAAAAATTAAAAAATACATGATATAATCTTAGTAAATTAACTATCTACCTAATAATTTATATAAATGAAAACTTATTTTAGTTTTACATATAATATATGGCTTCAATTTGTATTACACACTGACAATGCAAAATAAATATTTTTATTATAATTAAAATATATTTTAAATTTTACCCTGCAGTGTATTATTTATTTTTGGGTAGATGCATACTATTTCTGTTATTCCCATGTTTTTTTTATATAGTATTATTATTATTATTATTAATTAATTCTTCGTAATTGTTAATTTTTTTATTGTCATGAATTAATTACAATTTTGCATAGTTTTTTTATTCATTGAGCATTATATTTTTTATTTGGAAGCTTATCATCATAAAAACTTAACAGATTTATACTAAACAACATATTTAGATATAAATTATGTTTTTTAATTATTTATATACATATATATATATATATATTATATTTATAATTAAAAGTAGATAAGATATTTTTTTTATAAAATAAAATTTTTAGTCCATATTGTCATAAATTTAAAATTACTTTTATTAAATATTGATGTAATCTATAAAAAAATTAAATTTGTATATGTGCTGCTGTTAGCACAAGTTTCATATTAAAAATAACATCATTATTTGCTTTATGAAACTGAGGTTAATTTTAATTAGTAGACTTAAAAATTAAAAGTATTTTCACTTAACTAAAGATTTTTAATATAAATATTTGTGCATAATTTCTGTTGAAGAAATTATAAAATGAAATGCTTCAAATTAATATTTTATGCAACAACCAACATATTAAGCTAAGGATATTACATTATACATAATATATACAGTTATTTACAGTGTAATCACAATTCAAGGTATCACTAAATATATCGAGTATGTGATAATTTTTATTTAGTTGACTACATTGATCAAGGCGACAATTACAACTGAATTTTTGAGGCAATTTGAATCATGTTTAGAACATATGGTAAAAATGTTGAACAATTTATGAGATAAATTTATTTAATACATTTTATTTTGTATTATAATATTATTATTTTTATTATTATTAAGTTATAACTACTTTGTTATAGGTAAATTTAATTATTACAGTTAACAGAAAAAAAATTAAAAAATATTGTACACTTAAAACAATGTTGAATTGTTGAAATACTTCAAACTTGTTTTATTATCTTAATAATTACATTATCTGATTATCTTATTAGAACATACTTGAGATATTCATCCGAACAAGGTACAATATTATTAAATTATAATTTGTAAACAGAGAAGGTATATTAAAAATTTATTATTTATTTCCAGTGATTTTAGGTGAAAATTTATTTAACGCAGATTATGCATAAACTAAAATGTTGACTTTTTTAATTGGGTCAGTTTTATAAATTGAAAAAAAAAATTATACAAACAATGTTTTAAAATAAATCTATCTGAATATGTAAAAATAGTATTTCTTTTTAAAATAATGTAAATTGTATTAGGCATGGACACACCAAAAGTGTAAAAAATTTGAAAATTATAATTAAATGTGTATTTAGGTACCTAAAAACTGTACCAAACTGTTTTTTAGGATTTTAGGTCATATTTTTAGGTTTTTCAGGTTATTAAAATCATTGCTCTAGCCATTACAAAATAATATATTTGAATAAAAATGATATTTTCTATCATTTTAATAGTTAAAGTTTTTTTTTTTTTTTGTTAATGACAAGATGGATTTTTAATTCCTTTTTTTAAAGTAGAATATTTTACTTTGATATATAAACATTAAATTTTAGTTAGTAGTTTATCAGTTATAAGTATTTAAGGTTTCGATGAACTAAGTAGTGGATTAAACTTTACGGATGCCCTGAATCTCAATATTTAGTGTTTTTGCTCATTTAAACTTTAAATACTTTGAACTCAATAATCCATTTTGAAAAGTAAAATCTTTTAAATTACAATAGTAAAAATTATATTTTATTATGGAAATATTGTATTTTACGATTTAATAGTTTTTTGAATAACAAGAATTTTAATTTAAATGGATCATTTAATATAAATACCTATGTTATTTTATAAATGACTTTTACGAAAAATTATTTAATACATGGACTATTATTATATAATTATATAACTAAATCATTTATTAGGGTAACACATACAATTTAGTTATAGTTATATTAATTACAATATAATGTAAGTATATAAAAATAAAATGTCATTATATTTTTCTTTACCGATAACCCGGTAGCTACACATGATAGTTGACGATGAAATGAGACTACTCCAGCATGCGTTTATGTAGTAGACTAGGGTGACCATTTGTTTCGGATTTTCCGGGACGTTGTCGAGTTAGAAATCCGTGTCCTAGCGTCCCGGACAAAATTCCTCGGGATACCGATTTGTACTGGTTTTGAAGTTTTGCACAGTAATGTCCCGGAATTTAAAATTATTTTACTTACTCGGTTATCGGTTTTTAATGAATGTTTAATGTTTTTAATTTTTATTACTGAACAAAACCTAATTGTAACTCGTAACTCGTAAGACGTAAATATTAATTATTATAAATTTATAACGATATTTGATAACGAACGTCGGAAACTCGGAACGTATGGTAATGACGGTAATAAACGCTTTTTACATTTAGCCAACCTACTGTCTCTAACTTCTGATTACATTTACAGTCGGGAAAAACCATGTTATGATCTATGAATTTCGAGAATAGCGATTACGAAAGATAATATGTATTTAGTATAGGTAATTTCAAAGTAGGTACCTACCTACAGTGTATAACTTATAATGGAACATTTTCAGTAAGTCATGATGGACGATCAGACTTAAATGATCACCTCAAAACAGTCAAAACACAAAAACATAAGTTGGCCACAAGATCATCAGTTCAATCTGGTAAGATTTCCAATAATATCTCTGGTTTGGTTCCTATCGAAAATGATTTTTTGTTAGCCGCCCGCGAAATTATTTTTATGTATCATACAGATATAATTCACAATTAAAGTTCTCGTTCTATGCCTTGTACATTAGAATTGATTCATCAATGTTAAAATGATAAAAAATTTACGGGTATAAAATTTACCTAGATTAGTATTTTAAGAGGTGTTAAATAAATTAAGATATCTTGTGTAATTGATTAATTTTAATATTTTTTTATACTTTATGTCCTAATTAATCATTAACGAATAACGTGTAATATTTATTGTATAAACTCTTATTCTATATATACAGATATATTATACTAAAAAATATATTATTATTTTATTATTTTTTATTTTTTTATTATATTAACAAATTATGTATAATAATTTATAATTTTGGTGTCCCAGATTTCTCAAAATTTAATCTGACCACCCTACAGTAGACTGAAGGATTATTATTTATTATTATGCATTTCGTAACGTAGATAATTAAAAATAGTATTATAGTTATAGATTGAATATAAGGTGATGCACGTATATACACATAACATATTAAGTACATTTTAATAATGAAATATGATAACTGTATAGTGTATATTTAAATTGTATAGCTATGGATTTGTAGCATAGAGAACACTACAGGTTGCAGAAAAACTCGAGAATAATTTCTTAAAGTGTATAAATTTGTTAAAAAGAAAAATCAATATTTTTTTAAGTATTTAGTCGCATTGATATCTCATCTCTGAGACTAAAAATATAAATGGTTATCGAGTACTCGTGTTAGTTTTGAGATAAATAAAGATGTGAACACGTCCTAAGCAGAAGTAATGGTTTTCAAGCGATGTTATGAAAACAATTTCATAACTATTTCAATTTATAATTTTTGTTTTGGATGATATTTTAAATATATACTTTGACAATATCTGTACTTATATAATATGTAATTTACCAATTTAAATAAAGGGTGTGGTACCAAGCTCCTGAGCCTGCTGAGCCCTACTTGCACGTTCTCTCTCATTTACTATCATTTTAGTATCGGAGAAGATTAATTTACACGTTTTCATAATCGACTGTACATTTTTATGCATATCTATATTATGGATACGATTCAGTGGACGGTTCTTATTCTTGTAAATTAATATATAGTTGTATTAAACAAGAATAGCATATTTTAAAAATAAACTGTTCGGGCTTGCAATCAAAGACGTGTCAGAACACTATTTGACTAATTGAATAATTGGAACAGTGCCGTATTAACGTTTAAAATTTAAACTTATGTGTAGATATGAAGATATGATGTTTTTTTCTATCTAACAAGCATGCAATATAACACATCTGTGTTCAGCAAAACCAATTTTGTGTTATTAGTCATAAATTTATAATATTTTAATCTAATTTAGGAATTGACTTAAATTATTAAAATTTAGGATAAAAAACATTATGTGTTTGTGAGTTAATATTTTTTAAAATAATTTCGAGTTAACGATGAGCGTATTTAAATTGTATATTAAGAGGACGTGTGATACCTGCATGTGTTTTCTCCGTCTTACAAATGCGTAACATAGCAAATTTTACGCTTAGCAAATCACGTTTTGCTTCGTTAGATTAAAAATTAAAATGAATTGATCTTTTATAAAATTTAAAAGTAAAAATATTATTTAGACGACCTAATGGGCTTTTTACTATGTTTTAATTTTGAAGCGAGTTATAAGTATTTTAAGATGTATAAAAAATTTACAATTTTAAAATACTTATAATTCGCTTTAAAATTAAAATATAGTAAAAAGCCCACGAGGTCGTCTAAATAATATTTTTACTTTTAAATTTTAGAAGAGGTCAATTCACTTTAATTTTTAATCTAATGAAGCAAAACGTGATCTGCTGAGCGTAAAATTTGCCATGTTACGCATTTGTAAGACGGAGACAACACATGCGGGT